CGAAACAACGACAAAAGCTCACGGCTCATAAAACTCTCCGAAAACAAAATTCGCTTTGTATAACAATGAGAAAACCTAGCCGCGGTATAAATAGTACTCCCAAAAAAAAATTTCCTCGGGGGCATAGCCCCCGAACCCCCCGAAACATTGGTTCGTTGCTCTAGCTCGGGCGAACCGCCATAGAGATTTGTTCACTTGTTACGAGTTGGGCCTATCGGCCCAACTCTCCGCGTCGCAAACTAAATCTCAATTTTCGGGTCGCACAAAATATATGTCGGGTCGGGTGTTGAACCGGACCGAGAACATAAAATTCAAGACATATTTAACAAATACTCAGTCAGAAGGAATGGCCATTTCACTACGGACCGAGCAACCCAAACCTCTTGATGTATAACCTGGCCATACGGGACGAACCAAAACTCGATGATGGACTATTGAATTTCGGCACGAACCTCACATAAATACAAAGAGGAAACAAGCCCAAGCACACCAATAGACATGACAGAGAAAATTACGCCATGCGAGACAGGTAAGTGCATGACATGTAGCGGCACTAAGTAAATGATCAGTTGAGATACAGACTCGAAGGATTGTGCATCATCAAGTGTTAAAGTAAACTAGTGCTTCAGTCGACCTCCCACACTCGCGCACATCGTGCACTCACTCATCTTTGTGTCGTTGCATGGCGTTTTGCGATTTTACGCGAATTGGGTGGACTTTTTCACGGCATGCAAGACTACAAAAAGGTAGGACAAAGTCCCAAACAAAACGACCGAAGACGACGTGATTCGCCTGCTCGATTGCATGTGAGTGATGGAGACCTTCGAGTGGACACGTTATGTGGGTCACCCCTTGTTTATTTATATGATACAAATATTCTTTTCTTTTCAGGGAAGGGTGAAAAACAAAGTGTTAATATCCCTCAAAGCTCATTACCCACCCATCGGTTCAACAAAAGTTCTCTTTAGAATAATGAACATATGTTCCTTTCTCCTAATTGGTTACCGTCTACCTTTGCCATCTATATTATGGCATAATTTGATATGATGCTGCTGTTCAAGTAGAAGCAGGCAGTGACAAAAAGTACTGAGAAGAGGTACCTCTCTCTCTCTCTCACTCTCTCTCTCTCACTCTCTCTCTCTCTCTCTGAGGGTAATAAAAAGAGGCGAGAAAGATTGTCTGTCAAAAGGAGAGAGAAACGCATCGAGGGACCTTCCTTTTTTGTTTTAGGGTTCCCTCAAACTGCTGATTTCGGAGCAGTTGGACCATTTCCACATTGCACATCGGTATGTAGAAAGAGAGAGAGAGGAAGAGAGGTAGAGATTCCTTGTTGACATATGAGAGCAAAAATGACAAGAAACCTTCTTTTTATCGTAGGGTTTTTTCATGGGGTGGTAACTTCGTAGCAGTTGCCGTACCATATCCATACGAGTGAGAGAGAGAGAGAGAGAGAGAGATCACGGGCTATCACTTCTGTGGGAGAGAGAGAGAGACTAGAGAGTGGTGCTACGACACACAAACACACACCCCAAAAAGAAAAGATTCCTCTACAAAGATGGAGACTTGAGAGGGAGCTGATGCAGCAAAAATATCTTCAAAAAATGGAATTATTGTGGTCATTTTTTTTATTATTGTCATCATTACCAATATGACACACCAACCAACCCCTTTTTCGCCTGCCATCCACTTTCTACTAAGCCCAGATAACCCCCCGGTAACTGATAAATTTTGCTTTTTAGGCATCATCCCACCTCATCCGTGTATCCATCTGTGTATATTTATCATATTCAGAACAACATATCCATTTTTTTTTTGCTGTTCTTTTCATGTATGGGTGGCGTCACAAGTAGCTGCAAATCGAGCTCCGGCAACAGTCACACCTCGCACAAAGCCAAAAACTCAGCCTTACTTCAGCAACATCTCAGCCCTGAGGCCGGTTCATTTCTTCTTCTTTTCTTTCTTTGTTTCCAGAAACAAATGAAGAACCCTTTTATTATTTTGTGTTGGAGGAACAAGCCACTTGATTGGTGCCGGCTATGTCTTATATACATCATGGAAAGTAGTCGCGTTAAACTTTCTATGTTGTGTCTCTACTTACTACAAACGCAAGGCGTCAATACTCTTATATGCTCCCTTCGTTTGACTCAAGTAGTCATGTAAAGTTACAAGAGGACCCCCACATATTTGAGTTCTATCGATAAATGCGATTGATGTCAAGTAGGAGCTTAACATGGCTCCAATAGCCATATAAGTTCATCTTATATAATATTATTCGCGAGCTCATGATTATTTGATAGGTTGATGATGTGGAGCTGACATACCTGAGAAGGTAACTGACCAATAAGTGGAAAAGGTATATGGTGGTAACAGTCACATTGCTGCAAATAGCTCGTATGCAAGGATGATGTTAGGCAACAGACACGAGCTTATGATGTTACTTAATGTGATGAGGATTCTTTATATCTATGTGATGAGTTCACATCTTGAATTGGTCCCCTTTTGAATTGAACGACACATCCATGTTTATGTGTTTTGTGGCTGACATAGAACCCCTCCACGTTATTGTATTTTCGTGTCTTCTACCTCCTCCAACAATGACAAAAAACCTCTTGCAACCGGGCCTTTGCTGCCAAACACTGTTGCCACCGTCGCGAGGCAAGAGCTATCAAGACAACCGACACCAACATCACCTCTGCTTGAGAGAGAGAGAGAGAGAGAGAGAGAGAGAGAGAGAGAGAGAGAGAGAGAGAGTAGAACATGGAAATGAACTCATTGGTTCTTGACATTAAGATCCATAGGTGAGTTGTGTTAAAAAAAAGGTCCAACATCGAAGAATTTGTATGGTGTAGAGTAGTTAATATATCATAATTGGCCCATAACTCATTGACTTAAGTTTTTATGTGAAGGTGAATCCAGCTAAATATGTTGACGGGCTCGAACTTAGACTTCCTCTAAGCAATCTCCCTGACTTTTGCTGCGCACTCTCAATAAATGATATCAAAATTGTTGATTGATTGGTGGCTCACTCCCAATCCATATCAATGTGTGGTGAATGTGTCAAGGGAGAAGGTAGCCTTCATGGTCCAGTCTGGATAAAGAGACTAGCGTTAGAGATTTAAGTTGAGACATGTTGGAGCAAAAGGATACCTAAATTCAAGAGGACTAGACCTAACACTAAGCTCACATGTGAAAAAGAGATTGTTGAGATACAAGTGTGAGTTGTGTTAGAAAAGGTCATACATCGGAAATTGTTGTGCTGTGGAGTAGTTAATATATCTTAATCGGCCCATAAATTATTGGATTAAGGTTTTGAGTTAATGTGAGTTCAATTGGATATGTTAACTGGCTTTGACTTGAACTTCCTCTTGGCGATCTCCCTGAGTGAATATTGGGCTTCTGCTGTGCACTTACAACTCTTATAATTGCCGGTTCCAAGCCAGTTCTTATGAAAATGCAGCCTCGAAATTTTAGGTCACTTTGGGCTATTAAACTCGCCGTGTGAAGAGGAGACTTTGGGTTGCGAAAGCTCGTTAGGTCAATGAAATGCTTCGGATTGCGAAAGCTCCCTATGCAAATAAAATTAAGAGGTTGCATTTGCGCAGTCCCTAAACTAGTTAAAGTTCGTTTGGATGTTGTAATTATTTAATAGTTTATTACATAAAACTTGCATGCGGCCCCAAATATTGCTACAAGTAAATGGTCATGCAGATTATTAAGGGCGTGTTTGATAACGTTTCTATTTCTTTGTTTTTGTGTTCTTTTATTTCTTGGAACAGGAAAAGAATATAAGTTTATTTGTGTACGTCAGTTAATTTTTCTATTCTCCAGAATAGAAAAGTGGCCGGGGAATAGATTTGAAACAGAAACAAGAAGTAAAAAAAATCTACTTTTCTGTTCCCAGGGACAAAAAAAGAAACAATGTCATTTTAGAGAAACAATTTCATAAACCATTAAATCCCCAAATCCCAAACCCTAAAACACGAAATCCTAAACCCCAAACCCTAAAAGCTAATACTCGAAACCCCAAAATCCAAACCCTAAAACCCAAACCCCGAACCCCAAATCGAAACCCGAAACCTCAAAACCCTAAATCCCAAACCCAAAACCTCAAAGCCCTAGATCCCAAACCAAACCCAAACCCCTAGATCCCAAACCAAACCCAAACCCCAAAACCCTAAACCCCAAACCTCAAAACCCCAAACCCTAAAACCTAAAGCCCTAAAAACCTAAACCATAAATGCTAAACTCTAAACCCCAATTTCCTCGACCACCACCCGATATTTGCTTTGTCTATAAGGGGTAATTTTCTTTATGATTGTATTAAAGTCATCCAATTATCAAGTCTTCATTGACATTTTTAAAATTAAATGAAAAAATTGGGAATAGAAATTTTTAGGATTGTACCAAACGCGTTTCTGTTCTTTTTCTATTCCGGGAATATAAATTTTGTGCAGTTACCAAATGCATTATTCTACTTAGAAACTCGTCTAGGGTATATAAATATAAAAAAACAATTTATGAACAGAAATTATTTCCAGGAACAGAAATGTTACTATACGCACCCTAAGAAACCTGAATTCCTGTATATGTGGGCTCTTAATGATGCATCAAAAGAAGTTCCATATCTCATGAAGTTTCTTTCTAAAAGAACTGAAAGCAAGTTATGCAAGAGACGTGATTACTAAAATAAAAAAGATATAGGAAACAATACTTAAGTCAAAAGAAAACTTGTGGATTTAAAGAATTGCCCATTGGAATGTATAAAACGCATTTCGTAAAACATTCATGGTATTACTTTTCTTCTTACATCTACTAGCGTCAGTAGGCCTATTGAATGAGCTCAAATGGTCCTTGAGCTTGACTTGGGTATTTAATAGTATAACGTCCACGTTTGGATTGCTCTTGAAATTCATGGCAGTGCAGTTGGTATTACATCAAGAAGTAGTCACAATCTTTCAAAACAAACGGATTTCAGGCATTGGCAGGTTCTTGTTCTAATATATCTAGTAAGTTGAAGAAACTCAGAACACTTCATTTCGAGTGCACGTGTAACTACAAGTTTATAACCTCTTAACTTATGAATTTATCAATCCTAAAATACAATTTTGTTTCCTTTTACATTCGAGTTTAGACAGCATTTGCGTGTATTGCATCGTTAGGATCTAGAGGAAATATTTTGGACTTGAGATTGGGAGTGGTCATCTTCACCTTTAAGATGGTGAAGGAATCTCAAGCTACGCAGAAAGAAAAACAGAGACTATGAATCCTGCTTCATGTCTTTTTGGGGAGAGTTACCCGAATCGTTTGAGGTTCTTGGATCTTATCGTTCCACTGAGGTTGAGAGCAGTTTAGTTATCAATTTGACGTAAGGTTGAGAAGATGAGGACTATGGAACAGAAGTGCACGGATTCGTGTAAACCTCGGGAGCTCTCTCCCTTTTATTAAACCTTGGGTTAAACTTCTACCGGTTCCAATCTGTCACCACGATGGCAACGAACCAGCTATATTCTTTATTAACCGGAAAGACTGTTGCGTCATCTGACAATCTGCAAACAGAAATAGGCCTAAGACCTTGATTGGGTACATCAAAGGCTTAAGCTGATCACAGAGAAATGAGCCGGTCAGCCATCTTTGACAAAATATACTACGATTCCAAGCAGCAAACTGATTTCTGAGAGAGATTCAATTGAAAGCGGGCTAACAGACCAATCATCATTTGATAAGAGTGATGCCCGTCGATATTCACTTCTATCGCTATACGGAAGTCCGAGAGAGGTCAACATCAAAAGCTCTTAACAGACAGATGATCACTTGATAAAGATGGTTCCTGCCAACATTCACTTCTATCAGAGCCCAATTTAGGCCCCTAATACAGATGCTTGTCGACATTTAATATTACAAATCTCCCTCATCAACATTCCTTTTCTCTCAGAGCTCTAAAGTCAATCCTAAAATATACAAACTTACTGTCATGGTACCGGTGTTATTGGGAGTTCATCAGAAAAGTATAATGGCATATGCCCCCACTATAACCCTGAAATATGAAAGGAAAATAACCAGAAGATTCCAATAATGTGAACTTCTGTCGACCTGTTTGTTATCTAAAGAAACTAACCTCTAGCGAAGCAAAAGTGCAGACAGTATCTCCCCCATTGTCTTCTCAGACGTATCCTTCTCATTATCTACCTCAAGACCAGACTCCAGAACAGCAGCATCCAGAACCAGCTTCCTTTTTGCAATCTCATAAATATTCTCATCGACTGTACCCTTGGTCACCAACCTGAACAGAATTCAGTTCAATATCCTAATATAACAAAAACTCATGCAATCACAAAAACAAGCAAAGCGATGAGTAGGAGATCACAAAAAAAAATTCTCAGAAGTGGGGGCACTGGCACCGCACCTATATATAGTTACTGGCTTTATTTGGCCAATTCGGTGACAGCGATCCTCTGCCTGTCGGTCAATTTGTGGGTTGAAATCCATGTCATGGATGACAACTGTGTCAGCTCCGGTCAAATTCAAACCCTGTCCACCAGCTCTCGTCGAAAGCAAGCAAGCAAATATGGAAGTATCATTATTGAAAGTGTCAACTATGCTTTGTCTGTCCGTCACCTGGGTACTGGCAATTTAATATGCAAATTAACAAAGTGCTTTTACAGAGCATGCATGAACATTAAACCACACTTTATAATGAAGCAATGAGCAAAATCAAAACGACAATCCAGGAAGTACTAATGGATTTTTGAAGATGTAGGCATTAATCCAACTGCCCTAGCGGACAAGGAGATCCAAAAGGGGGAACAATACTCAAGACATGCTTGAGAAAAAACCATTTTGAGAACAACTTCAATCAACAGAGACCTTGAGAAATTCCTGCTTTCGACAAGATGACATCTAGCCCAACCCCGAGAGATAGTAGGCTAGACACGGCCAATAGAACATACTACTTAGGTACTAAATTCACTCCCAGGATCATGCATTTACTAAGAAAACCAAAATAGAAGATCAAGGAGATAAAATCATTTCTGTTATGAGTGTAGTATTACCCAGATTTGCTTATTGAATTCCCACCATTCAGTTAGCAGGAGCAAGCAAACGACAAAGATAGCAGGCAGCCAATGTATGCAGAAGAACGACAAGGGAGAGAAAGAAATCAGACAGGAGCACCTTCCGTCAAGACGTCTGTAAGTAACGCCGATAAGTTCCAATATCCATTCTAAGATATCAAGCATCGAGGTCCACTGGCTAAATATCAGGACGCGATGACCACCTTTATGGAGTGCAGGAAGAAGTTCAGCCAGTGCCTGTAATGTAGCTAATCCATCTGATTACAAGCGGGATTGGGTCAAATTAAACTTGATATGATATAAGATGAAAACATACACGGCACTTAGCAGAAAGCATGGCATGTTCCTCTGATAGAATCCCATCGATACCATAACAAAGTAAAAGCTGCACAAAGATAGTTATGGCACCTATCAGTGTAAAAAGTTAAAAGGCGCAATAAATCATCAGTAAGTAGTTTGCGGTAAATTAAACTCTCTGTCTGATCAAATAGGTAGAAAAGTGCCAATGCCAATAAATTATTGACTGCTCCAGTTCAAAATTTCATGCTGTAGGCAATGAGACAAGCAGAAAGAAGATGCTGAGTATGCTGGGATGTCCGTCAATAAGTATCGAAAGAAAGAACACTAGTCTGTCTAACTGCAACACTTGAGAGTATAGCCAATAAACAACTGCATATCAGCTTTCTTTAAGCATAATGGCCCTAAGACTAAGGGAAACTATGAAGCTCATCTATTCCTCAGTAATACTTGAAGATGGCCAACAAATGCTTTCCATTAAAGGCCCAAATCAATATATGTAGCTCCAGCATAATACACGTAACTGAGAGGATTGGAAGTTGCACCGCAAATTGTTTGTGCCCCAGCCATCTAGATAAGTTATTGACAAGGCTGAAGTGGAAACTCGACATACTCAGTTCATTTAGCAAACATTTAGTTTAATGGAAACTACAGGCTTATCTGCAACATTTTCTGCATAATATAAGGAAGTGTTCTGCTCAATAAAACGGAAGGAAAACAAGCAGCAATCAATAGGAGCAACTGTACAAGAGAGTATACTCCATCTCAATCATATGAACGACTTCATTATAGATATGTAGTTTATGCCACTAAGAAATACCTGATGAATAGAGAAATCACTATACTTCTTCATTTCATCTATTACTCGTTCCAAACCACATTCAAACCCAAAGGCACCCTTTTGATATAACTTCTTAGCGAAACAAACAATATCACCATCATCATAAAGCCGCCTTACTAGCAAAGGATGATTTGCAATCTGGATCAAATTTTAGACAAGAAAAAACACATTTCAGTCACAAGATCCTTACAACATCTGCATTAGGAAACATTACAATTATGATGCAGCACCTTCCGAAACTGGACAAAATAGTTAGAAATTTGACGCTTTGGAAGAATTTTGTTGATATTTCTCAGGCAATCTCCTGAAAACTTTGCCAAACGAGCACCTGAAGCGGCACGATACTCCTCAATAGCTTCTACATAAGCCTCCTCCTGTTGTTGATCCATTGTCACAAACTCAACCTATGCAAGAATTAACACTCAGACCCTCCAGAATGAAGCATTGACCGAAAAAAAAAAAGGAACAAAAGTGAAACTGGCCCGACTCAGAGAGAGAGAGGTTGAACCTATCTAAAACTATCATCTGCCAGGGGTGATAACAAAATCCATACCTTTTGTATCTTAGGAACAAGTTGCCGCATAACATCAGATTTTAAACGTCTCAAGATAAATGGGCCGAGGATGGACTTCATACGACTGACTAAGGCTCGGTCCTCAGCATTTAAAAGTTTTTTCAAGTCCACATCTTCAGTTGCAAAAAGATCAGGCATCATAAATTCCAACAGTGACCACAATTCCTACAAAGAAACCCAAGGAAGTGAGGACAAAGTACATTACACAACCTACATCTAATGAAACTACATTACCTCTAACAAAGAGCAAATACATCTTTTTTTTATTTAACAAACATCATCACAAAGCTATAAGTTGGTTCTTGGGGTCGTTTTGGCCTGGTTTGCCTCATGACTACCATGGGCACATGGCTTTTCATTTGCGCTTTTCACCGATGACTTTCCCTCATTCTCTCCTACCCATGCAATAAATCTCAATATGGTTGCTATAAGAAAATTCATACTTTTCTGCAATTCTTCCAATTATAGATAAAATATCTATGGAGAAAAAAATGAGCACAAAGAGCATTATCAACTGTCATATGGAGGTTTGACTGCTAAAAATATTAAAAAGAGTACACTAAAATATTTTCACTCATTATTATAATCCTCAAAGAAGGTTGTGAAGTGTAGCACATTCTTTCACGGTTCTTTTCTTCCTTTTTGTTGATTAACTTGTCTCCCAGTTCGACTAACGAAAATATACGGGCTTCAAATTGTACCACAACAAGTTCTTCAACAGAGAAATCAACAACCAGAGAGACACAGAAACTTAAAACAATACTACATTGTCGATTAACTTGTCTCCCAGTTCAACTAATGAAAATATATGGGCTTCAAATTGCATCACAACAAGTTCTTCCATGTAGAAATCAACAACCAGAGAGACACAGAAACTTAAAACGAGACAATATTTAACATAAAGTATCTATTAACTTTTCAGGCATATTAAAAATTGAGGAAATTGAATTAGAGAGAAATATCATCAAGCATACATGTAGATCATTTTGTAGGGGTGTCCCAGTCAACATTAGACGCTGATTCGCATTTCGTGCAACAGACATTAAGTTTTTCCATCTGTAACTGTTTTTATCCTTCAATGCATGGGCTTCATCCATCAAGACGCAGCTCCACCGCCAACGTCTTAAAATTTTGCGATCGTCTTTCTGCTGAACACTGTGATCATAATCAACAATCAGTAATGGACATACGTCAAGTTGGTAGCAGACAACCTAAGACAGAGATATCCAACCTGTGACGTTCAAAAAGAGAGTAACACACAAGAAGCACGTTGAACGGAGGAGGTAATCCTGCTTTCGACAGTGAGGTCAACTCTTTTGAGTAGATTGACCGGTTAGCACCATGATATTGGAGTGCTGAAAATGAAGGACACCACCTTTTGAGTTCCCTTTCCCAATTCTCCAAAAGAGAAGCGGGGCATACAATCAAGTGCGGACCCGGGTCATTATTCAAGTGTTTCAGCAATGTTAAGTATGTTATGGCCTGTAAAGCAGCCAAAAAAGAGGTATATAATAGTCTGTGAAAAGAAAAATGTAGCACAATCTTCAAAAATAGTGCAAAAGTATAAGCAAATACTTTTAAGAGAAGAGAAAAAAGTGATTACCTGAATGGTCTTCCCAAGACCCATCTCATCCGCTAGGATGGCTGCACGGAGTACAAAGATGCACCATTAGCTAGGATGTATCTATTTTAGCACCCCCTGCCCCTCTGCAGAGAAAGGGGAAGAAGTACTAAGCTGATATTACACAATAAACTCTCAAAAAGCGATTGACAACATGAAATAGAGAAAGAGAATAGCATGACACTGTCTGCATTACCAATCGTTAAAGCCACTCTGTCCTAAGACATAAACAAAACTGGTGCACAAAAAGTCACGCAGGAGCATTAAAATACGGACATAATATTACGGCTATCATGTTGTTCGAGTTATTGTAGTAATTTTTGAATTGTGCTTTAGAGTCCTTTTGAGTCTTTATTTGACTTATGACAATGTCAAACAAACATTATTTTTTTCATGCTGTTCGAGTCAATATAGTAGGCTTTTAAGTTTTTGTTTAGAGTCCTTTCGGGTCTCACCTTGAGTTTTAAGAGTCCTAGGAGTATTAGTTTTACTTTCCTAGGAAGTGTTCCTTTGATTTAAGGATCTTTATGTCTATTATCAGTCTTTAAGGGGCTCTTTTCAGATTAGAAACTGTTCTCATATTGAATGAGGTTTCCTTTAAGAAAGTTGTTCTCTTTTCCTTGGCCTTGAAATCCAAAAGAACAGAATTTTAAATTGCTGTTCCTTTTGAATTGCTTTTGTTTTGATTCTTCTAATGTGATCTTGGATATCCATATATCCAGAATCACCCAAACAAGTCAGTAGACAAAAGTCAAACCCTTCATAACTAAGTCATTCAGCAAATTTACTTTTGGCTAGAAAAGGTTCCTCGCCTGACTGAAGGGCTGGACAACTTTTACGCTACAAAACTTTTTATCAATGATTTCATTCCTTTTTGCTGATAAATGACTTTAATCTCCAGTTCCTAGTGTGGATTTCACAATGCCTACGACAATTGGGCATTCTTGCACTTAATGGAACTGGCTCGATAACTGTGATGTGGATTGCCCTATCCCACACTTTTACAATCCGGGTTACATCATTCTGGTTTTGATACTCTTACATTCTCAATCACCAAAAGTGCGGATCTGTCAACCACACCACATACATGTGCACTTAAAGATGTCAACAAAAATCTAGTGGTGCTAACATGTTCCAAAAGAACATGAGCTTTTGCATTATAAGAATGACTTGGTTCTCTAGTGCTATTACTTAATTGAATTAATTATATGCCATGTGGTGTTGAAATAAGAGAACCAATAAAAAAACTACTAAATTATCCTATTAATGTAGAATAATCCAATTAAATGCTTCTAACGTAGCCAATCCAAATAAGCAACCCAACTAAGCATGCTTTATTCCTCACACACTCTTTCTAGTCAAATGGCATAAATAATTCGCAAACCACAACATAGCACATCTTGATCTAGGTAAGTCTCTGCTCTTTAAATCATACAAACTATTTAGTCCTATCAAACAACATTTAAACAGTAAGTTCTATATTCAAGGTCCTCTATAGGGCTTTACTGGTACATTCTTAGGCCTCCCTTCCCTCTTTTCACCTTGGATTTTTCATCCTAATGAAGCATCTTAATATCATCATTGCATGAGTATACCACCTCAAAAGAGTTTCCCCATCCTTGATACAGCAACAAAAGGGCCTGTTTGGATCAAAAGAACATTTTTCAGTCTTCTTCTCCACAGATGATGACAATGAAAACAGTTCTTTGTTATCCATTTTGTCGAAAACATGTTTGCTAAGAGAAAATGAAAATCCTCTTTATGAAAGAAAAGTAAAATCGTATTTATATCCAATTAAAAATAGAAGATTTTCTTTCTCTGTTTCTTCAAATCCACTTGATTTCATTTGAATGAACACAATGAAAACAACAGGAAGCCACTTATAGTTTGTACCAGTTTCAGTGTTTCGTTTGAAAACCAGAATTTTTATATGAAAATGAATACAGAAAATTTCACAAATTTCCAGAAACCAAACAGGGTTTAATTGTCTGTTGATGCATCATCAGTGTCGTCCTTCTCGCTTAGATATCGAAACATCATCTTTTCTACACAATTTGTGTTTTCGTAGTCTATTACTTTTTAAAGAATATCAGTATTCATCTAAGAAGAAAATTTTTGGTAGACCCTTTATTTGCACATAATTCTCTAGTAAAGTCGTATTTCATATCTTCTTGGTACCTATTAGAACACGAATCCTTAAATTGAAGAGTTCCTGTCATGCTTCAAGCTCCAAATATACTCCAAGCTTGATCTCACCCACAATGAATGTATCCTCCCCTAAAGGCATACACCAAGAGACAGCACCATGTTATCCAGTACTAAGGAAAAACTGCTAGGGTTTGAATGCTGAACCTAAACAAAGGATACTGCAGTAGAGACTTCTTAATTCATCCCTTCGTTTTCCGTTAACAAAGCAACATCCATGATGCACATGGTAAATCCTAGATGTTGCAACTATATCACTTTCTACTCCAAAGTCGTCCACCCAAAAAAATTCTCTGAGGATCATCTCATTTGCATTGACAAGATCTACAATCATCACTCTCTAAATCCTTTCCATCGACATCCTCATAGGACAAATAATACTTTTAAACAATCCTGCCCACCTAAAAACAAGCGGTTTCTCTAAATTTAAAATGTGTCACTCTTCCACAGAAACTAGTGATGCTGTCAAGTAGAAATCTCTTGTAATAAAATAAATAACCGATATGACAACTTCTAGCAGAACCCACAAGCTCATGGAGTTCCCATAGTGAAACCTGTCAAATAAACATCTTTCATGATTTTCATTATTCTTATTTTCTCGGAGAAATCTAAGAACTATATTTGAATTTTCTCTGTGATAATAACAAGAGGAAACTCTCTTGAACAAAATGGTCAATGATGTTATAACTATTTTCTCCTCCATTTCTAGGAACATCACTCATTCTTTCTAGTAGCAGACAGTAAAAAATTTAAGCTTGCTCGTGTGACATTATTTTCTGCCTACTCCTTCATACAAACAAACAGCAGTAATAGGCAGCCACGTCCAGAAGCACAAGCAAAGACCACAGAAGACACGAAGAGCCAAAAGTCAACAGGCCATGGAGATATAGGGTTGGTAGTTGCCATTCCTTTCCAAGCAGTTGACTTCAATGCGAGTCTCACTGGCCACTTTCCCAATCTCATCAAGCAGATATAGAGGAAAAATGTGATGCTCTGCTTCCCCAAACTATAGACAGAAAGCTTTTCTTGTGGCCGTATCTAGTCTAACGAATACAGTAGGAACATAAAGCTTATTAAAAACAAGAGCTAAGTTCTCGATGATAGTTATATTAAAAACAAGTATTCATTCGGTTTAGGTCCTAAATGACACTGCCGATTACATCAAAAAAGAAGGTTGAAAAGATTCACGATACCTCCTCCAACACCCTTCCGGTGCAACAAAAGAAGAAAGTTGACACCAACAAGCTGATAAGGCTTCAGAACAGGCTGAAAATCTGTATCATCAGAACCACAAGCTGCATCAACATCATCCTGCAAAGTCAACGTCAAAGGGAAACTTGATGAACAGACCTGCTAAAAATATGTCTATATTCTCAGGTTCCCAACAGAGAAGCACAACTGCATATATTTGAAAACCACAATCAAAAAATGGAAAGACAATGTTTAAGGAAACCCAGCCATATCAACCTTTATAATTCCTCCACATGACATCAATCAACTGAACCAAAGTATCCCATTCGTCCCTCTATACATCATGCAATGCTAAAGGAGAAGGGCTACGAATCGTAAACAACTTTCGGACCCCTATTAACTTTCTAGTTCAATGCTTGGTCACCTACTACTCATGAGAGAAATTTACTCTCTGTACACAAGATCTGGAAGAAGTGAAATTAGTTGCTCCATTCTCCGTGTTGTTATAGCACAAAGTTTTCTGGTTAGGTAATTCCCAGAAGAAGCACAAGCTTAGTTAAACTGTTAAAACTCGTACAAACATCCATCCGCCACCTAGGTGCAGTTCAGCTTCATGAGATAACTCGGCACAAAAAACTAAAAAATTGGCTTGAGCCACAGTTTCAATAACAGCAGATTGTGAAAAAATTGATTTCACGGAATAACTGATTTCAGTATCATCTGTTTCTACTAATTAACAACCCAGTCCAGGCTACTACAGAGCTCCCAGCGCAATAGCAGCTGATAATATATATAAAAGTAACAGCTTTGCAACGTAACAAGCATGTCTAGGAGGGAAAAAAGAAGAAGAGAAAGAACCTTCAACGCAGCCCAGAAAAAACCTACATTTCACCTAGTCATCAGCCAAGGTTCTTCAAGTCACTTAAAAAATTCCTTCGGTCCAGAAAAATCCTACATTTCACCTAGTCATCAGCCAAGGTTCTTCAAGTCACTTAAACAATTCCTTCCGTCCATAGCCAAAATAACCACATCAGCCACGCCAAAAAAACAAAAAAAAAAAAAAATCAAGAAACCAACTCAATCAACACCGACAGTATCCTCGTCCCCCAAGCTTCCATCACATCGTAAAACTCCAACCTTGCAAACACTCGTAAGGAGCGAAAATGCCGAGCAACCAAAGGTCCTAAACTTAATTCATGGGATGGAAACGAAATTGCAAAGAGAACCTGAGTGACAATCCGATTAGAGGAAGCTTCCACTTCGGAGTAGTGCTCGCATGAAGCGACGGAAGAGCCATAAAGAGCCTTCTTCAAATCCGAAGAAATTTTGGCGCATTTCTGCAGAGCCTTCCCCACCACATCATCATCCTCCACCGCGTCCTCTTCTTCTCCCGGTTCCTCCACCTCGGCCTCCTCGCCCTTCTCGTCCTCCGCGGAGCTTATATCATAAACATCGACCAAATCCCCGTCGCTCTCCACCTTACTCCCCGCTCCCGCCGCCTCCTCCCCCTCCTCCTCCTCCTCCTCCGCATCGTCGTCGTCGTCGACGACGAACCGGCGGCCACGGCTCGCCGGCGCCGGCGCGGCGGAGCCCACCAGCTCGACGTCGTCGTCCTCCAAGTTATCGGAGCTGCCGATCTCGACGATTCCTCGGCCGGAGGAGCTCGGGGAGCGAGGCCCGCGCGATTTTCCGGAGAAGGCGAAGGACTCGATCGGGGGCGGGGGCGACGGGGTCCTCCGGAGGACGCGGGAGGGCTTGAAGGAGCGGGACAGGTCGCCCCAGTCCTCCTCCGTGAGCTCGTCCAGTGCGCGCTTCATCACCGTCGCATGGCGGTCCTCCTCCGACGGCGACGGCGACGTCGACTGAGGGAGGCGATTGCCGCGGAAACCCTAGACCAGAGGAGGAGGAGGAGGAGGAGATCAGCGTCGCCGAGAGGAGGAGGAGGAGGAGGCGACGCCATTTGTGCGGGAGACTCGGGGATTTAATAGTAAGGTCGGAGCGAAAAAGTGCGCTCCAAAGTGAAAGGGACCCGCGCGGGTCTACGGAGCATAATTTTGTTCCTTTTTCCTTGTTGTCGAATCTCTATTGCAGAAACAGAAGAAAACAAATTTTTCGAGCAAGGAAAAATAGAAAAATATTGAGGCTCCTCTGAATAATTTTGCTTGAATAACGGCAAGAATTTAGACACCAACACAAAGAACTAAATTTTTTAAAAAAAAGAAAAAAACGGAAGCATAAAGAAAATCGTATCCCATATTCCGGTTTATTTTTGCATATTTCGAAACGTCCCGTGTGCTAAACGTCAAATTGTGTGTCAAATTGTGTAGACTATCGAATTTGGCAAAAAAAAAATCTGACCGAATAAACACGGTCACTTCACCTTTTCTAGATAAAAAGGTTCTTATTACCTTTCTTGCGAAAACTTAAAAGGTTATTCGTAAAAACAAAATTTATCATGCACCTTATCGTATAAATATTTTTTAGTTTCGAAAGCGTTTGGAAATTTCGCAGTTTTCGGAGTTAAATTGTACATGTCAAAAAATTACGAATACAGAGTCAAAGCTCTTAATTGGCCTAAATAACTAATGAGGAAGAATTGTGTTGAAAAAGGATTGAAAATAAATATTGAAGGTGATTAGGGAAAAGTGAGAGTGGCACTCAAAATTCTTACTTTTTTCTTGTTCAATAAACGGTCAACCGTACCATTTGACCAAATAGATGCAAGAGGGGAACATTTGACACGACATAAAATGGGCGCTCAACTCAAATTCGAGACTATAGCTCGATTGGAATTGGGCTTTGGCCCACTCCATTTCCAGCCCAATTAGACATCTCTGGAATGAATCTAAAAGACTCTAACTAGGGCCCTGGATTGGACTTGGCATCGTTTCTCAATCTGAACCTTTAACTTATTTGGTTTTAGAGAAATGAATTGGAAAATAAGCATATTTCTTCTTGTTTAGGCAACGAAAAAAGTGAAGGGATGTATAAAAGAGATTATTATTGCATGCATATGTGTTTCAGTCTTACTGTTTACTTTATTTTCGAGGCCAAATTCCATAAATAAAAAAACGAAATCATAAACTTTGTACCGTTTATCAAAAATACCCTAGACTTTGGAACGTATGTGAGGACCCTCAAACTTGATTTTTTTTTTATTAAGTGTTTGGCCGCTCGACATCACGTCAATACTCCGATCTGACGTTGGATTTTCTTTAGGGTTAATGCCACGAAAAAACCTTAAACTGGTACACATGTGACTAATTTACCCCCAAATTATTTTTTTGACCACAAAAAACCTCAAACTGGTACACTTGTGACAATTTTACTCCGAACTAATTTTTTGACCACCAAAAATCTCAAACTGGTACACCTGTGACAAATTTACCCTCCGTTAGTTTTCGTTAAATTTTACTGTCAAATTGCTAAGTATGATGACACGTGGTAATTGACGGGTGTACCAGTTTGGGGTTTTACCCCTCTGTTTGTCACAAGTTTACCAATTTGTGATTTTTCGTGATATTAATCTAATTTAACAAACACTAACGGAGGATAAATTTATCACAAATATACCAGTTTGGAGTCTTTAGTGGTCAAAAAATTAATAAATTTATCACAAATATATCAGTTTGGGGTTTTTAGTGGTCAAAAAATTGATAAATTTATTACAAATGTACCAGTTTAGGGTTTTTAGTGGTCAAAAAATTAATTTTGGATAAAATTATCGCAGATATGCCAGTTTAGGGTTTTTGATGATCAAAAAATTAGCTCGGGATAAAATTATCACAAATGTACCAGTGTGGGGTTTTTGGTGGTCAAAAAAATGATTCGGGGTAAATTTATCACAAGTGTACCAGTTTGGAGTTTTTGGTAGTAAAAAAATTAGTTCGGGGTAAAATTATCACTGGTGTATCAGTTTGGGGTTTTTCGTGGTATTAACCCTTTTCTTTAAGATAATTCACACGTGTATCGTAACAATATCCCCCACACTTGTATCGTAACAATCTCCCATTCACATATGAGCTTAAAAATATCTCAAACTTGAATCTCTATCAACCCCAACTTAATCACTGTTACTACACAACAACGCCCATCGCCTGGAGACCGCATTGGTCACCATATTTTGTCCTTGAGATATGGGAGCAAATTAGGAGCCCACCAATCTACTCTCGGCTCTGATATCATTTTGAGGGTGCGAATGATAATCATTTTGTTCTAGAAATCAATTTTTGGCCAGAAATATATTTTTTTATTTCTATTCCATGGACGATTCTACGAGCAAAAATACGCGTTTAACAACGATACAAACTTTTTATTTTCGAAATAGAAATTCATTTGATAAGGATACAAAATTTCTCCCTTTTGGGCGATCAACGAAGGACAGCAGGGGGTAGAGGACGGTAGCCGGTCGCGGAGGACGGCAGGCGACGACGGAAGGTGGTCGGCAGGTGGATGGCGGGTGGGCGACGAAAGACGGCAGGTGGCAATAGAGGATGGCGGCCAGCTGCGTGAGGCGGCTGGCGTCGGGCAACGACGGACGGTGACAGATGATAGCCAGTGGAGGACGGCAACGGGAGGTGGCCGGCGGGTGGTAGAGGACGGCGGCGGCGGGAGGCAGCCGACGAGCCGCGGGTAGGCGGTCAGTAAATAGAAGGGCGAGTGATAAAAAGAGTTTGTATTTCTCATGTCCGTTTTAGAAATAGAAAAAGTAGAAAATTTATACTTCTAATTTTTGTTCCAAACTTATTTCTGGAGTAGAAATTTGTTCCAGAAATAGAAAAATGAAATTGCATTACAAAATATATTTCTGTTCCAAACCTATTCCTAGGAACAGAAAAATAAAAAAATATAGAAACGGAATAGTTATCATGCGTGCCCCAAAAGTCCAATACCTTCACCCGGGAGATCACCAAGAAGGAGACTAAGTTCAAGCTCGTCAATATATCCAGTTTGATCTACCTTCACTTAGAAGCTTAAACTAATGAATTATGAGCCAACTTGGATATATTAATTACTCAACACCACACCAATTCTCCAATGTATGACTTTTTTAACACAACTCACACATATATCCTAACAATAAGAATATCATCCATCGATATCACTAGTAAGAGCTCCTTTAAATGCCGATGTGGAATCCGACATGCCATTTAGGTCTAAAAAAATGCTAACTACGCTATAAGTTAATTACACATTAGACAAAATTACGTTGTTTTGATCGAAAATAAAGCAACCCTGTTCAAGTCAAAGGAAAAAGATCAAGAAAAATCATTTGCTCAACTATCTAGTACTAACAAATTATTATTAAATATGAATTTTTCCATTCCCAATTCATTTTACTTTTAGGAGAAAAGAAAGGATTATCATTGTATACAACTACTAATAGAAGAAAAAGAACAAGTTGTTCTCCACCATTGCTTTGGTGGTATTGTAACTACCCACTCTTATATCAGCCATCACATAATGGGTGTACGAGGCTGGTTATGAACAATCTTCTCTCCACTGTATCTGTATTAGATCTACATCAAGTTATATCAATAATCCCCTTTTATCGATGTATGAGCCTTCCTTTTTTGTACGTCTCATCTCTCAACTCCTCTACCGCACTTATCAATTGCGCATGAGATACCCGTCGTCCTATCGATATACTTTTTTTCTTTTAGGTAAACCAACCGACAGTCATATTACTTAAGACTCAAACACGTAGTTCAAGTTACACAAGCAAGGTCATCACAAAAAACAAGGAGTATCATTCAAATAAAGGAGGTCTCCATCTCTCCCCATCCTCGTAGCTCCACAAAAGTGGAGAGCCTAAGATCGACATAGAAGGTTAAGTTCGATCGTACCGATAAATATTTAAATATTAAATCATGACTTTTTTAAAGGCTCAAAAAAAGCTTTTAAATGACCGAGCATTCGAAATTCAAAATATATGAGGTCGGGACATAATTGTTTAATGTCATTCTACTAGATCATGTCATTAACATCTAGAAGTGGCACTACCAACACTAGACCTCACGACAGGTCTCCATATTGTTTGCTTTCAATTTGATTAGGGTTTCTTGGTCACAGAGAGAGAGAGAGAGAGAGAGAGAGAGAGAGAGAGAGAGAGAGAGAGAGAGAGAGAGAGAGAGAGAGAGAGAGAGAGAGAGAGTACGGTTGTAATCTCTTTCGTTCGTGTGGTCAGGGCTGATCTTAAGCACTTAAAGATGCAGAGAGACGTTAGTTTTTTTCACTGGGAGGTAAAAGCACGAGTCTCGCCCACTAGCTCCTCATCATTTCTCGAGTAGAATTCAAAGAGAGTCTCCTTCTTTCTTATAATTAGAGAGAGAGAGAGAGAGAGAGAGAGAGAGAGAGAGAGAGAGAGAGAGAGAGAGAGAGAGAGAGAGAGAGAGAGAGAGCAACATCTCTCTCTGTGTGTGGCCTCTCCGAGCCCACCCACTAGGCTCAGCAACTTCGTTCATTCACTTCACAGCTCGAGTCTCCTTTTGACCCTTTTGTCTCGTTGCATCGTCTCCTTTTTCTGCGTCACCTGCACTTCTAGAAACCGGTCTTTTGACACCAGAACTCCTCATAAAAAAAAGCACTGAAACGGGACAATCTGAGTGGCCACCTTGAATACCATTGAAGTTGCTCATTTCCCTTCTTTATCGAGCAATTGGAAGGGGGGATCACTCTTTCTATCATTCGCAGGACTGGCGACGATTTGCTTTCCTCCTATTGTTGCTTCGTTACCGAATCTTGTTTAAATTATTAGCCATTTTAACACGATGCATGCATCTTTTATGCATGATTTTCAAGGAACAGAAATGAAAAACTTTTTTAATGTAAATTTATTCTGCTGTTAATATACCTCTATAGGATTTTATGAAAATAGTGGAATGAATGTGTAACATTAATCTCCCCAAGCAGTCCAATCAACTACTTGACATCTAGGACA